AACATTGGACGTGTTTGATGTAATATATTATTACTCATTCGATTACGAAGATTATTTTCATGAATCTAAAGTATTTACACTAGAGATCTGCATCGCGGTCACGATCATAACTCAAAAAAAAAGTTTTTCGTAACAAGACTAGAAGAATACGTTCGATTGGACCTCTTATTGAGCATTTTCTCCTTTTCAAAATACCATTAGTGACATGAGGATAGAACAACCTTTAGCAGAGAAAAATATTGTGTATCAATCGTGATCAGTGCTAATCACAATCAATGCGTAGAATTCTTCCCTATCCGGAATTATTATATCTTCAAGTTTCAAACGGCAATTTGAAAAGTACACAATTTTTGAACAAAAGTTTCAAATCGAGTTATTCCACAAATGGAACCGGATCGGTAAGTCGGTCGGTCTGAAATCTATACCGACGTAGGATGAATCATCGTACTATTCCATCCTTGGACAATGATATTGGATCAAGTCAACTTTCAACAAAGTTTCATTACATATCCTGTGTGAGATACTAACAGCAAAAAAAATTCGTAAGACATACCAGCAATGACCAGCCTAACAGTGGACTGGTTGGTCTGAAATTCGTACCAAACTAACCGATTTGAAATCCGTACTGGTACTGGATCGACCCGACAAGTTATCGGTATCGATCTCATTTCTGAGCTATTCTTCTAGTCTTGTTAGGGAAGGGTTGTTGTGAAAAACTTTTCTCTTTCTTTTTTTTTTGGTTACGGCCATGACCGTGATGCAAATGACTGATATAAAACTAAAAAGCTACTAGATTAAAATGATGAAATATTTACATTTAGATGATGAATTCGAACGAGTTGTTCCGATGCTGCATATGAACAACCAGGGACATTACACTAAGAAAATAGGATCATCAATTTTTTGATCCAGAAAATAGAAAAAAAAAACATCGAGTCAAATGTCTTACTGGAATATGACTTCGTAAATGATCTTGATAAGCAACTTGATGAGGAAAACCAAGTGCACATGTAGCACACCAAAATGGATGAAAACCTCG